CCGCAGGGAAAAGGCCCCCGTCCAGCCGGCCGAGGCGCCGCGTATCCAGCCCACGTATGAGAAGATCGAAGCGCCGCTGTCGAAGCCGACAGGCATGTATCCGCCCCCGGCACCTGCTCGGATGGAAACTAGCCAAGCTTCGGCGGCCCCCAGCGCTTCGGTGGCCCCCAGCGCTTCGGCCCGATCGTCAGGATCTTCGGGTGCGACCCGCAGCTCAGGGTCCTCAGGAACGAGCCGCGCCGTCGTGGTAGGCTTGCCAGGCTCGAACCCCGCACCGGTCCGCTCCCCTGGCGCATCATCCGTCCGATCCTCAGGGTCAGGCGCCATGCGGTCGCCGGGCGCGTCAAGCGTGCGCTCGAGCAGCAGCCGCGCGAAGGAGACGACGCGCACGACAATCCCACCTCCGGCGCCGACGCACGACTCCTTCACGGCCGATCTCCCGAACATGAGTATCAGCATGAAGCCCTCGGTGTTCGATCCGCCACCCGCGCCGACCCGCGACGCTTTCGCCGCCAAACCGGTTCCCCCGCAAAGCCCACCGCTGGCTATGCGCTCGCCGTTCGATCCGCCGCCTGCGCCTACGCGCGATGCTTTCCCGGCTAAAGGAGCGGCGGCGCCGCAGAGCCCGCCGCTAGCTATGCGCTCGCCGTTTGATCCGCCGCCTGCGCCGACACGGGATGCTTTCCCCGTCAAAGCTAGTGCCCCGCAAAGCCCACCGCCGGCGATGCGCTCGCCGTTCGATCCCCCGCCAGCACCCCTGCGGTCCGAATTCCCAGTCGATCTCCCGAACAGCCCGCCACTCACCAAACCCTCACATTTCGACCCACCCCCCGCACCGATGCTGTCCCAGTTCCCTGTCGACCTCCCAGCAAGCCCAACCGTCGCGCGGCCCTACCCCATCGACATCGTGGCATCAAACGGCCCGCAGCAGCAGCGCTCTCCCGCCATCGCCGACTCGCCCTACCCGGGTCTCGGCAACTTGACCCCGTATCCAATGTCCCCGTTCCCGGAACCGCCCGCCGCCCCGACGATAGGGCACTTCGTCGAGGTGCGCCCATCCGCGACGCTCACGCTCGCAAACATGCCCGCCAGCCCACCGGCCGATATCCCCGACCCGCCCTCCGCGCCGATGAAGAGCCGCTTCCCCGAAAGCAGGCCCGTCATGAGCGTGACGGTGTCGAACCCAGGTTCGCCCGCACTGGTCCCGAACAGTCCGCCCCCAGCGCCAGTAAAATCGCGTTTCGCGGAAAGCAAGCCGACGGTGGCACCTCTCTCTCCACCGCCGCCACCCGCAGCCGCCCCAACCGGTTTATCGCGTTTTGCTCCCCCGCCCGCACCCGTAAAGGGGCGCTTCGCCGAAAGCAAACCCGCCGTCGCACCCCTCTCCCCACCAGTCCGGGCAGCCACCTCGCCCGTCCCCGCACCACTCCCCGCACCTACACGGCCGAGCTTCGCAGCGCCCACGCGTCTCAGCTTCGAGTCACGCGGGCGCCGCCTGCTCGGCCCGCTGGACACGAGCGTCGGTGGTCTGAACTCGCGGATGAGCCCGCGCAGTATGGACGACGCATACGAAGACGAGGATCCAACGCCTACGGCCGCAAAGCCACGCGGGCGGGGTTACGGGCTGCACAGCGCACCAGCAAGCGCAGCGCCAGTAACCGCAATCAACGCGCCCATCATCGAGCGGGAGGAGCGGTCGCCCCTAGCCGAGGCCGCGACGCAGTCCCACGCTAACCAGTCCCAAGCGACCACGCCCAAGGGCGTCGTATTCACGGGACGTGACGAGGTGCACAGCCCGCTCAGCGGGCCGAGCAGCGGCCCATCCAGCCTAGGCAGCCCGAGCAGCGAGCGGAGCGACACGCCGTTTCCGTTTTCGCCAATTACGCCCGTGGCAATGGCGTGGCCTGCCTATGGCGACGCCGTGAGCTCGAGCGAGGCGGCGCGGCGGCGGGCAGAAGCGGCGGCGGCGGAGGAGGAGGGGGATGAGGATGATTTCATTGTGCCGATGGATACGAATATGATGCTTAGCATCAAGGGGGCGGCGGCGGTTAACAGTGCCAAGGCCGATCCGTTGCCGCTACACATGTTTAGGGGCGAGGAGTTCCGTGGGCGGGACGCGAGTGTGGCGAGCCAGCATAGGCGGAATCGGAGTGCGAGTCCGATGCGCCCGTCGAGTCGGGGGTTGATGAAGAGGCATGGGACGGATGCGGAGATGCTGACTGCGGCGGTGTATGATCCGAATGCGCCGAAGACGCGGGGGTTCCGTGCCATCTCGTCGAAGAAGTATAGCGACAAGGGCTTGATTCTCAAGACGTACTTTGATCGCTGCTCGACGTAGGTTGCATGGCATTGTCCAGCGCGGGTGGAGAGACTGTTTGCACTTCAGCTCGGATTTGGCGTTTTGGTTTGGATTCAATACATACTGATTACGCTCCGGTTGCGCATGGAAGGCGGACCTCGCATCTCAATCTCGAACATCTGGATGACAGATGGAATGTAGAAGAGCCTGCTCATCGCGAGCCTTTTTTGTTGAACCTTCGGGCAAGCATAGCGCAGGAGCTGCCGCTGCCTGTACATTTTCCCGCTGGTCAGTAGTCTCGGACTCCAGCGTGGCGCAATTGAAATAGCATTGTACAATGATCGATGATGGTCCCACCGTAGCTCTTCTGCCGTGTTGATGTCTTGCTCGTTGATTAGCCAAGGGCTGGAGCTCAATGACTGAATTGGATAAACGTTCTCGTCCTGCTCTGCGGGCACAACGTCAAGCCAGGTGCCCGATGGGAGGGTAAGTACGCAAATAGCCAGCCAAAAGACAAAATCACCAATGTGCCATTGCTCATAACTCTAAAACGTGTGACGGAGCGTGACCAACCCCCCAACAGCTATCCCAAAAACGAAGGCCATAGTGCTATGTCTCCGACTCCATTACGTTTTCCGGTATGTTGCGCAACTGGTAAAGCATCATAAACGCCATCGTCCCCGGATATATCGAGACCGAATCGATGACCTTGACGCCGAGCTCCTTCTTTCTCCCAATGAGCATCATCCCAAGATCCTCGGAGAAGTCACTCCCAAGTAGAGTAAAGAATTCAGTGTCCTCGACGGTGTATCGTACCCATCCGCCCGCCCAGATGTGGGAGGCGTCGAGATTCTGAGCGCTCATTTGCGCCCATCGACAGACGGCCTTCGAGGTCTCATCCCGGTAGCCGACCTTGTACAGCACGTATTCTAGCCCCTTAGGATCCGCGTTGTATGCCGCGGTCACTTCCATCCAATGGAAAAATGCAAAATCTCTCCAGTCGCTGAGCGCTGGCATGTCCGAGTCAGGGTCCAGGAATTCAATCGGGACGTAATTGGCCACTATAATCATGCCCACGTGAGGGCAGTGGTGGTTGATAAAGTACGCCTCCGTTGGCTATCGCCGTGAGCTTCGCATCTTAATATGGACAGCATACTTACCTCCTCGAGTTTGCCCCACTCCCCGCCGATTTGCTCCCACGGAATGTAGTGAATGGCTACTCGCGCTTCCTCGGTCGTATCCAAGCCCTCTAAACGCAGTGCTTTCAGGATGGGGGCAACAGTCGGCGACTTGAGAAGAGGCGCATGAGAAATTGGCTCCTCGGTCTCGATGAGAAGAGCATACAAGGGGTTGTCCGTCCACCCATAGGCGTGCAAAAGCGCGCTGTCGAGTTTGGGGAATGGTACTGCTATATCCTCTTTTACATAGTCCGAGGCTTCCTGTGTGGTTCGTCGGTTCATCGCTTCATATGCCTTCCTTCCTCTGGATGCCAATTCTTCCAAGCCTTCGCTATTGGCGACAAGGGTACGACGGCGGGCGGTAAACTGACGTGGTGGAATATCTTCATGCGATCCGTCCAACGGCGGAGCCTTCGAACGATGGCCTCTCTCAGGGGACCCAGGGATCTCATATATCACAGGGATGTCGTTGAAGGAAACCTTGCGTCGGCGGGGCTCCAAATCATCGGGGTTCAGAGCCAGCGGGTCTTCAGTGTAACTTGGGTCCGAACTTGGTTTGACGGCGGGCTTGGGGACGAGTAGGTGAGAGAGTACAGTGGCCGCGATTTCATCTACATATGTTACTCCATCGTCATCGGCTCGCGTCGCAGGCCGAGTCGACCGAGATGCAGATCTGGCCAAAGGGGCACCGAAATCAATCATTTCCGGTGGAGAGGCCGCGATGTCCTCTACATATGTGACTCCGTCATCATCGTGTTGCTTCGCAGGCCGGGCAGGCCGGGATGCAGTTCTCGCCAAAGGAAAGCCGAAGCCAGCCGTGTCCTGTACAGAGGCCGCGGTGTCCTCTACATATGTGACTCCGTCATCGCCGTCTTGCTTCGCAGGCCGGGCAGACTGGGGTGCAGATCTCGCCATAGGATGGCCGAAGTCAATCACTTTCGAAAGCGGAGACTTTGATAGCTCTCGCTCGGCGTCTTCATCAAGATTGAGAGACGTCGGGTCTTCAGTGGAACCTGGATTCGAGCTTGGTTCGACGGCGGGCCCAGTTTCGACCGGGTGAGAGAGTGGAGGGGCCGCGATGTCCTCCATGGCGAATATTGTTCCATATTCATCGTCTTGCTCCGCTGGCCGAGATGTATGGGATATCAAAAAAGGGTGGACGGGGTCAATCATGCTGGGAAGCGGATGTACTGGCTAAGATAGATGGTCAAAGAAATACGGTGTACGAAGTTGGGTAAAAGCGGATGTCTGGGTAGATGTGGAGTTGAGAGGATTGCAAGCTCGCGAGGACATGTAGATCTGGCAGTGCCATCTCTGCGATGGCAGGTGTGCCAGGCAACGGGCGGTCTTTCCATGAAGGGCGGCTGTGGAGGGACGGATTGCGCCTGGAGAGAAGTTGAGGTACTTGGAGCGGAAATGGCGATGGAATCAGAATGTGGTCGCTAAACGGCAGGCTCCCCCACGCCCGACAGGCTGCTCTACGGACCGGCCTACCGCTGATGTCGTCCATCCCATCCAAAATTGGTCGGTTAGCTCAGTTGGTTAGAGCGTGGTGCTAATATGTATGTCATGTAACGCCAAGGTCGCGGGTTCGACCCCCGTACTGACCATCACCAGTCTTTTTGCTGCTGCTGCCATTTGAGGTACGCCGCTTTTTGCCCGCTGTCGACATCTGGCGTGGACAGAGTGTTGGCGATAGTCCCTTCCCCCATGCGGTACATGGCGGGCGGAACGCGGATGACGGCCATGGTCGTTCCGATCGACGGAGACTAGCTTCATCGTTCCGTTTGCATGAAGATTTGCAGCACATACTGTGTGACAGATTAGCATATACACAGTCCCCTTTGTTCGTGGAGCATCTTCGTGATGCAGTGAGTATCTTGCCGAGCACCAAATGGTAGTTGTAACGCGGTGACCCAACGATCGATATCATCAGGATCAAGACAATGTTTTAGCACAAGCTGTTCAAAGCATCACGGTATAATGAGCTCGGCTCAGTGGCGACAGAGTCGAGCAAGGCAGTACAGTAGTATGCACCGGTAAAGTGTGGAGAAGGAACAGAGGTGTCGCCATGTCTCCCGCGGAACCTCGTTTCCCCGACCGAGCATGACGTCGAAACGCCGCGAAAGTCGCGGCTGCTTGGCAGGCGGCGCCGTGCGGCGGGCCGGGCCGCGACTTTACGAACTGGCGTTTCTTAGCGTCGATGTTTTTAGACCTCGACTTCACCCCGCCATGCCATAGGTCGTCATGATATTAATTCAGGCGGCGAGGAATAGATAGGCAAACAGAGGTGACATCAGCGCTCCTACCGACTATCCGGCCATGAATTATGAATTACGCGCCCGATGCTCGGACTACAAGACATTAGGTTAGAAATAGGACATCATCTCCGCGAGCCGACGCCAGACACCCGCTGAACCCCATCTACCACCGCCCATACCCGCAATCCAACACCTTTGCCGCCCATGTACCAGACTACGTGCCCATTCCGCATAACTCACAATCTCCATCTACTCCCCCTCCCCCTCCCCC